TATTATAATAAAATAAAAATAAAAATAATATTTTTATTTTTATTTTCTCAAACACAATTTTTAACAATAAAATTTTCTTTTCATATAGTTTAAAAAAATTTCTTTATAACTATTTTTATATTGAATTCATGTAACAATTTTTTTTACTAATTTTACCTATATTAATTTTTTATTAAATACAATAAAATTAATAACTTAATAAAATTTTGTTATTTTATTTATTTATTTTTTTGAACAGGATTACAAATTTAGGGGTGGGGGAATCGAACCATATCCCTCGGATTGGATGATGTACTTTACAAACCGACTTATAACTGTTGGATCGTGAGATTCAGATGCATTTTGTTATTTTATTATAATACTTAATAACTTTTTATATAATATATTTTAATTTTCTATATAATATATTTTAAATTATATTATTAATAATACATAATAAAGCAACCTTTTACGGGCCATAAAGTTAAAAAAATACGTTATCGGCGAGTTATTCATTTTCATATTTCCTACCTACAAACGCGTTTTCTGCTTTTTGACATCCCATCAAAGCACATGAAGATTCCTTCTAACAAATTAACTCCAAAAAATATATATGTACACACTACATTTTTAACACGTGTTTTCATCATATCCAATCACGGTGAGCCACGCTACCCCCGCAGCACGGAAACACAAAAAAACGGTGTTCGTGACTTTAGTAATGCTTGTTAGAGACACTTGAAGTTGCCATCTGTCCTTATCCGATTGGCTCAAGTTTAGTGGGGTAGCGGTTACGTGGAACTGATTCGGGAATGATTGGATTCGAAATCAGCATTTTGTCACCCCACCACTCGCCCCTTGGCACCACGGAAGCGACGCACTGAATTGGTGAAATGGGATCTTTTTCTTTGGGATGGGAATTGTGATGGAATCTAAAATTGGGGCTTAATTGTAAAGACTTTTACCTTTTACAATTATTGTGTGAAATTAAACTGCTTTTGCGTGCTGCATGCTTTTGATGAGTACCTTTCTTTTTTTATTTTTTATTTTATCTTGCTTTGACGTGTGTTTTTATGATTTTTTTAATTTATATTTTTAAAATATATCTTAAGAAAATAGTTAATATTTTTTTATTA